TGCTCTTGTGTCAGTTTGCTGAGAATGATGGTTTCCAGGTTCATCCATGTCCCTACAAAGGACACGAACTCATCATTTTTGATGGCTGCATAATATTCCATGGTGTATATGTGCTACATTTTCCCTGTCCAGTCTATCAATGGGCATTTGGTTTGGTTCCAGGTCTTTGCTATTGTAAACAGTGCTGCAATGAACATTCGTGTGCATGTGTCCTTCAGGCTGGTCTTAAACTCCTGACCTCAGGTGATCCGCTGGCCTCGGCCTCCCAAAATTCTGGGATTGCAGGCGTGAGCCACCACGCCTGGCCTAATTTTCTGTAGTTTATAACCTGTGCATCACTGATAGCCTATGCGAAGATTTCAGGACTTCTCCTCAGTCTTTCTGGTACTACATAAATCCTACTCCAGGCATAGCCATGTCTATCCCTCACTACCTCTTCCCCGTGCCTATCCCCATTTCAGTACTTCACCCCTAATCAGCAGTAGTTCAGCATAAAACCAAGGAAGAAGGCTTAACAGGAATCAGCAACATAATTTGAGTTGGAAATTTTTCTGAAAATAGACTAACAGAATGCAGATTTACACAGATTGCTGCATTTATTAGACTGTGGGATGCATCATTTTGAAATGGGAAAAATTGGAGAAAATGTTTAAAACTCAAGAACATTCTGTAAACAAGTCATTTCCTCCCACTCCCTGAAATACAGATAGCAAAAACTGGAAGAAAGAGAAAAAAACTGTTTTTGTCTCTTGGAAGTCATGGGAGTGATTGTTAAGTCAGTCCTTATCAGCCGTAAATCCAGTGTAAATGCAGAAACACAGGCTGGAATGAAGTAGCAAACAGCCATGAGGTCTAGGTCAGGCTTTCAGAGAAGGAATGGTCAGCATCTCTTCCAGTTCCCTATTTCACAGAAGGCTTTATTATTACCCTGGAAAAGAGACTTAGTTTTTTTCTGACTTGTTTCTCGTCTCTGTGTTTCTTTGAAACCACTATCTCATGAAAATGTATAACACTGAATTGTGGGGGTTTGTCATTTGTTTTTTAAAAGATAACATATATAATAAAGTGTACTTGTTTTAATTGGGCAGCTTGGTAAATTTTGGCATATGCTTACCCTCTTAAGACAGAGTTTTTATTTTTTTTCAGCTCTCTGGCCTGACAACCAATGTTGTGGACATTATTTTGGCTCATCACTTTGGGCAGGTAAGTGCCTGTTCCAGCCAGAAGAGCTGTGTTTATTGGCTTGTATGCAAATTCTTATTTTACTTCAGGAAAGAAGGGCTGCCTTAGAATTTACCTCATCCCAGCAAATAACACTTCCAATGTTGAAAGGCATGTGGCCTTGCAGAGGTGAATGCTTAACTCATTGCCACATGGTTGTTGCCATGTGGAACTCTGAGAGAAGACAGCGGCTCTGGCTACCTGTTCCTGTAAGTAGCATGCCATCTGTTAATGTTTGACAGCATCACGTGCCTCCCCAAACATCTTTAGAGCCATTAGGAGGTCTGGGAAAGGCTTCAGAGAAATAGAAATTTCAGGGAAAAAAACTGTGAAATAATAATGCTAAAAGAAGCTTAGAGATTATCTTGTTCAAGCCCCATGTTTTTCGGCTGGGGAGGAAAGGAAACTGAAGTCTTCACAAAAAGTGGCAGTTATCATGTACATAATTGCTGGGTGGGGAAGGGGACTTAACTGGCAGGTGAGGGGGACCCTGGTCCTCTTCAAAGGGAAGAGTGAGTTGGGTGACTGACAAAGGAGTGATGGAATAAGTGGGCAATGAGGTCAGAGAGCTGGGGTGGAGAGAGGAGAATAATATATGTAGGAATAGTGAGTAATCTGCTTCATTGAAAATATTATCCTGAAGGAAAATGGCAGATGGGAAGAAAACTAGCATTTACCAACTACTGATTATTTATAAGACTTTAGATGTGCAAACTATTTTTTACACGGTTCTATTAGTCTGATTTTAAGATAGGGAAACCAAAGACCAGAGAGGCAACGTACTTTGCTACCACCATCCAGATGGTGAGTGTGGAGCTGACATTTGAATCCAGGTCAGGCCAAGTCCAAAGTCTATAGTCTTTTATTTCATTATATTTTTATCAGAGTTACAAATTCACATATATTTTAGAGTAGAGAAGTTCTACCGGGCTTATTACAAATTGGCTGTCACCTACCCCATATTCTGCTTTTTAGTGGCAACCACTTTCATTCTTCCAGCTGATTCCTTTGGGTTTTGCCTCCATATTGCCCTCTCTTTAATTGAGATAGTACTTACAAATAGTGTAATGCACACATCCTAAGTACATCTCAGTGATCATTTACTGATGTATACTTTCATGTAACTACCACCCAGAACACAAACAGAACATTTTCATCATTAACATTTCATCATTTTCATCACCCCACAAAGCTTTCTTCATTATCCTTTCCCACTCAATAATTCCCCACCCCAAACAAGGTATTCACTATTCTGTTACCTCCGTAGATTATTTTTGACTGTCTTAAACTTCATATAAATGGAATAACAGAATGTATATTTCTCTGAGTCTGGCTTCTTTTGCTCAACATACTGTCTTTTTTTCATCCATGTCATTCCATGTGTCAGTAGTTCATTCTTTTTTATTACTGTGTAGCAGCAGTTCATTGCGTTAATATACTACAAATTAGGGGTTGGATGCAGTGGCTCACGTCTGTAATCCCAGCGCTTTGGGAGGCTGAGGTGGGCAGATCACTTGAAGTCAGATGTTCGAGACCAGCCTGGCCAACATGGTGAAACTCTGTTTCTACTAAAAATACAAAAATTAGCCAGGCATGGTAGCATACACCTGTAGTTCCAGCTACTTGGGAGGCTGAGGCAGGTACCCCATAGAGGTACCCTATCTTTATAAATATTCAAAAATCAGCCGGGCTCTGTAGCTGCGGTCCCAGCTACTCAGGAGGCTGTGGTGGGAGGATCACTTGAACCCAGAGTTCAAGACCGGCCTGGGCAGTATAGCAAAAATAAATACTACTTTATATAGGCCTCTGAGGGGAGAGCTATGGGCAGTATTTAATAATTTCTAAAAAGCAAGAACATCCTCACTATATGTATAGTAATATATATACACATATATATATATAAAACTTTATATATATTACTCTATATATAACTATATAAATATATGTGTTTAAAACATTTGAGGTCATAGTGGATTGTCATAAGGCTGAAGAGTTCATTTAAAATTTAAGCATTCAGGCTGGTCTGAAGGTAGTGAATTATCTGAATTGATTGTACAGTTAGTTACAGATTGAATTCCTTGTTCTACTCTTTCCTTTCTCTCACTACTGCTCTTGACCAGCCAAAAAGATAATAAAAATTAAAAATAAGTTTAAAAAAAGTAAGCAAACTCATGCTTGTATTGCTTTGAAATGGAAGCAAACATGGTTTTTAAACATGAATAATGCTCATCTTCACCAATAAAAGAAAAAAAATAAAAATACATTTGTACTAGCAAGGATGTGGGAAGACAGGTAGTGTAAATAAATGAGAGAGTCTATATATCTGGATAAGGAATGATCTCTACTATACTTTACATGGCAAAGCAAGTGTAGAGCAATGTCTAGAGGACTATAATTTGTGTTTTTAAAAAGGTGGGAGTCAGTTTGTTTATTGAGAACAGGGTCTTGCTCTGTCGTCCAGGCTGGATTACAGTTATGCCATCATAGTTTGCGGCAGCCTCAATTTCCTGGGCTTAAGCCATCCTCCTCCTTCAGCCTCCTGAGTAGCTAGTACTACAGGCATGTACTACTACATTGAGCTAGTTTTAAATTTTTTGGTAGAGATGGGGGTCTCACTATGTTAACCTAGGCTAGTCTCAAACTCCTGGCCTCAAGTGATCCTCCTGCCTCAGCCTCCCAAAGTGCTGGAATTACAGGCATGAGCCACCACACCTGGCCTGTCATTTGGTATTCACTTTTCTTACGATAATATCTTTAGAATGAGACTGGGGCTCTCACAAAGTTTTCTGGTAGTGATTTGGGTACCCTTCAGTTTCATGTAGACTCTTGTCAGTATCCAACTGTATTCTGGGTTCATGACATCCGCATGGTGGTGAAAATGCAAACAAATTTTCCATATCTCTATTTCTCTAATAAGGCTTGGTGGTGAAATTTACACATTGCCCTGGATTAACAGACTTCTTAATTATCCCTGATACATTTCTTTCCTTCAATGCAAGAATTTTCCTTTCTTGCATCCTTTAGTAATTTGTTACTAAATTTAGTAATAAATTACTAAATCAATAAAGTATCATAAACATAATGGAATATACAGTTATACAATGTATAATGTTAAATGGTGGTATATATAGATAGGTAATATGCTGATTATATCAGTGAAGGTATGGATAAATTAATTGGACAGCTTTATGGTTATTAAAAGAAATATAGCCAGGCACAGTAGCTCACATCTGTAATCCCAGCACTTTGAGAGGCCGAGGCAGGCAGATCACCTGAGATCAGGAGTTTGAGAGCAGCCTAGCCAACATGTTGAAACCCTGTCTCTACTAAAAATACAAAAAATTAGCCAGGTGTGGTAGTGTGCGCCTGTAGTCTCAGTTACTTGGGAGACAGGAGAATCGCTTGAACCTGGGAGGCAGAGGTTGCAGTGAGCCAAGATCACGCACTGCACTCCTGCCTGGGTGAGAAAGAGGGAGATTCTGTCTCAAAAAATAAAATAATGTTACTGTTGAATATCTTGAACATGGTGAGACTCCGTCTCTACTAAAAATACAAAAAAATTAGCTGGGCGTGGTGGTCCATGCCTCTAATCCCAGCTACTCAGGATACTGGGGCAGGAGAATTGCTTGAACCCGGGAGATGGAGATTGCAGTGAGCCGAGACTGTGCCAAGGTGTTTGAGCAAGACTCTGCCTCATAAAAAAAGAAAAGAAATGTTACCTTCCATTTGTTTTACACTTTACGGTTTATATGTTTATATAACTTTTCTTATTTAATCTTTAAAACAGCCTTGTCAGATAGCTGGTTATTATCTTCATTTTTACAATATCTTCATTTTTGTAAAGAATGGCAGAACATTAAAAAAACATACAAAGAAATCAGGGTTCCGAGTAATGAGGTGACCTAAGTTCCACAGCTAGTACTTGAATCCATAATAGGTCCTTTTCTGCCCTCATCTGACACAGAATATGGCACTGAACCAGTCTGATGCAAATAATCAGCCATTCAGCCTACCAGTACATCAGTAGCCTCCAGGCTCTGCCCTGGTCCCCATTATGAGCCGTATGGTTTGGCTTGTGGTATTGAAAATGCAAAATAAATAAGATGGACTTGTTCTGGAGCTCAGAAGCTTACCTGTGTCTTCTTTGAATTGTTCTAGGAAGAGTTACAGGCCAACCTGGACCTGATCCAAACCTACAGAATGCATATTGCCCAAGACATCAATCAAGACAACCTGCAGCTCTTCTTGAATTCCTATAATGGGTATATTTTTTTCCTATTTCTTCACTTAAATGTAGACAGGTCTAAAAAGAGAAGGCAGGGGAGGAGAGAGGACTGTATCTAATCCTGAGACCAGCTCCTTCGAGGTGAAAATGTGAGCCCCTTCTGGTTTTCTAGAAACATGGGCAAAGATGGACGAAATGGGTCAGCTGTAACTTACCCAGAGTTATACAGCCAGGAAGAAGCAAAGCCAGATTTTGAACCTTGTCTCTCTAGCTCTTTCTTCTGTATAACAGAGCCTCCCTATTTTTAACTGAAATTAGAAAGATTAAGTCCTGTGCTAAACTCTGTTAGTTACAAAGAAAACACCCTTCCCCCTCTACTCAAAATGTTAGTCATTCTCTTCTCTTAAGGAATTTATTCCTATAAATTAAACAGTTAGGACTTGAGAGCTTCAGTGGTGTTGCTGTTGGGTTTTGAGGCTGTCTCCTTGTAGCATCCCAAAGAGTCCTGCAGGGTTTAGCCAGGAGCCTCCTTCCTGCCCCGTACCACTCAGGACGCCACTGAAGTGGCGACTCAAGAACCAAGTCACAGGGCCTCTTCCCTTCTCAGGTGTGAAGGAAAGGTAAATTTCACATTCCTTGATACATTTTGGTGTTTATGACCAGAAAATAACCTGAGTTGCTATGACTTTACCCAAAAAGGGCATTGCTTTTGCTTTGTTTTTCTAGACGCAGAGACCTGGAGATCGAAAGACCCATACTGGGCCAAAATGATAACAAATTAAAAACATTAAAGTAAGTTCCTCAGTTTCTTCAACTGACTTGCCAAATATCTTTACATTCATAGACTAATTTGGTGTTCAGTGGAATTTATGTGCCTATTTGCTGAGTGACACCTCTTATTTTGCCTACCTAGGTGTTCTACTTTACTGGTGGTAGGGGACAGTTCGCCTGCAGTTGAGGCCGTGGTAAGTATGTTCTGATGCTGTGAAGATAATGAGATTAAAATGTAATAAAATTATAGGCTGGGCTGGGTGTGGTGTAAGCACACCTGTAATCACAGCACTTGGCGAGGCTGAGGCGGGCAGATCACCTGAGGTCAGGAGTTTGAGACCAGCCAGGCCAACATGGTAAAACCCCCATCTCTACTAAAAATACAAAAGCAAATTAGCCAGGCGTGGTGGTGGGCACCTGTAATCCCAGCTACTTGTGAGACTGAGGCAGGAGAATCGCTTGAACCTGGGAGGCAGAGGTTGCAGTGAGCCAAGATCATGCCACTGTTCTCCAGCCTGGGTAACAGAGCGAGACTCCCTCTCAAAAAAAAAATTATAGGCTGGGTCCAGTGGCTCACACCTATATTCCCAACACTTTGGGAGGCTGAGGCAGGATGATCACTTGAGCCCAGGAGTTTGAGACCAGTGGGCAACACAGTGGGACCCTAACCCTACAAAAAATTTTTTTGAATTAGGATAGGCTTTAGTCCCAGCTTCTCTAGAGGCTGAGGTAGGAGGATTGCTTGAGCTTAGGAGGTCAAGGCTGCAGTGAGCCATGATTGCACCACTGCACTCCAGCCTGGGTGACAGAGTAAGACCCTGTCTCAAAAAAAAGTATGTAACACACTGCTGACACACTAGAAACAGTTGGTAAATACTAATTTTTGTTTTCTGATTACACATATCAGGGTTTGCTCTTTGTCATACATTTTAGAAAGTTAATTCATCAATCACTAGATTTCATCAGATGGGATCAGTTTTGTTCTTGATTGTTTTGTGTGGTGGAGTTCACTTTGTGGCAAGTAGTACAACTAACACCATTTACTTATTATCAGATTTCTGACAGCGTCAGCCTTTAATCTGGAATAGATTGCCACCATAAATTGAGCAGGCTGGAAGGCCATCTCTACCTTCTTCTGAAGGACATAGCACGTGGATAAAAATTATATATGCTCATTGTAGAAAATATGAAAAAAATGTAAAAATAGAAAGATGGGGGAAAATCATAATCCCATTACCTAAAGACAGACGATTAATTACCTTTTGCTTTACATAGACCTGATTATATTGAATATATAAGATTTGGGGGCCTGACTTAACACTTTTGATAGCATTTTTCCATTATAGAGTCAGTATGTCTGTAGATTTACCATTATTTATTTAACTTTATTCTCATGTTGATTAATTCCAATTTTGTGCTATTAATAATGTTACTGTTGGCCAGGTGCAGTGGCTCACACCTGTAATCCCAGCACTTTGTGCTGGGATTCCAGCACTTTGGGAGGCTGAGGTGGGTGGATCACCTGAGGTCAGGAGTTCAAAACCAACCTGGCCAACATGGTGAAATCCCGTCTCTATTAAAAATACAAAAAATCAGCTAGGTGTGGTAGTGCACGCCTGTAGTCCCAGCTACTTGGGAGGCTTAGGAGAATCACTCGAATCCGGGGGGCAGAAGCTGCAGTGAGCCAAGAGTGCCAGTTGCTCGTACCTGTAATCCCCGCACTTTGGAGGCCAAGGTGGGTGGGCAGATAACCTGCGGTCAGGAGTTCGAGACCAGCCTGATCATGGTGAAACCCGAATCTACTAAAAATGCAAAAATTAGCTAGGCATGGTGGCAGGTGCTTGTAATCCCAGCTCCTCAGGAGGTTGAGGCAGGAGAATGGCTTGAACCCAGGAGGTGGAGGTTGCAGTGAGCCGAGATCATGCCATTGCACTCCAGCCTGGGGGACAAGAGTGAGACTTCATCTCTAAATAAATAAATAAATAAAATGTTACTGTTGAACATCCTTAGGAAATCTTTGAATCTTTGATTATTTCTTTGGGATGGGTTTCCAGAAGTGGAATTAATATGTCTAAAATTATAAATCTTTATAAAGTTTTTAATACATTTTGCCAGGTTCCTTTCCAGAAAGGATATACCAATATATTGCCACCAGCACTGTATAAGCAAGCCTGTTTCACTGCACGCTGTCTAGCATTGATTCTTTTTTTATTAGTAGTTAATTTGATAGGTTAAAAAGAGTATCTTACTGTTTTAATTTGCATTTCTTTGATTAAAAATGAAGTTGATAGTTTTTCATATGTCTAATTATGTGTTTCCCACAGCATATATAACTTAACCAAGTATCTCTGTGAAATTACTTGATTTCTTTGGCTGCCTTCACTTCTGCCCTAAATAGAGTAAAGGAGTCTATTTGGAAAGGAAGTCTAACAAATGATCAGAGGTTTAGACATAGTTGAGAAGGTTTGTGGAGCAGGGAAATGATTGTAGGGCAAGAATATGCAGTTGTGAACGGATATATTCGCATGTCTCTGAACTGCCCTGTAAAACACTCTGTGTCTGGTGTGAAATACATGGCATGTGGCTGGGCACAGTGGCTCACGCCTGTAATCCCAGCACTTTGGGAGGCCAAGGTGAGCAGATCACTTGAGGTCAGGAGTTCAAGATCAGCCTAGCCAACATGGCAAAACCCTGTCTCTACTAAAAATACAAAAATGAGCTGGGTGTGGTGGTACACACCTGTAATCCCAGCTACTCAGTGGGAGAATTGCCTGAACTCAGGAGGCAGAGATTGCAGTGATCTGAGATCGTGCCACTACACTCCAGCCTGGGTGACAGAGCAAGACTCTGTCTCAAAAAAAAAAAAAAAAAAAAAAAAAAAAAAAAAAAAAAACAGAAACAAAGACAATGATTGTGGTTGGTCTACCAGGTATCAAGACTTCTTATAATGTTGTAGAAATTGCAAAGTAGTGAATCAAGGAAAGCATGATTTATTATATTAAATCCAGATTTTGGAGTTCATTCTTCCTGAAAATATTTATAGTATATCTACTATGTTCTAAGCACTGTGCCTAGCAGTTAGAGATCCAGTTTTTAAATTCTACCTTTTAGAGTTAATGCACATTCTGTAGTGAACTGATACATTCGTTTGTCACAGCCTGCATTGTCCTTTGTGTAAAGCAAATCAAAACTCTGATTTGGTGATCCTCACTTTTTATATTATCCCTGATTTTAGAAGTTTTGTATACCTTCCCACCCTCAATCCTGAGAGCAAAAGTTCATCTGGATTACTGGGTCTTGCCTAGGTAACTTTAACCACTGCTTGCTGCCACTGCAGTCTGTCATGTAGGCCATTCCTAAAACAACTCAAATCCTGTCACTTCAGACACCTTCTGTGGCATCCCGCCTTCCACAGTTAGCTCCAGCCTGTGCCCCAGCCTCACCTCCAGTCTACCTTACCTCACACTTGCCTCTGCAGATGTACCGTTCCCACCTCTGGGCTATGCTTATGCTTTCACCTTGATTCTGGAAGTCCTCAAACACTCATACTTTCCCTTTATCTATCTGTAGAAATCCCACTCCTCTTTCTGTGCACCCAGCTTAGTTGTGAAGTGTTTAGAGTGGTTCATTTTGCCTTGTATTACACGTTTCACCCTGCTGGATCCAGACTATCAGCACAGATTTTATATGTGTGTTCTTAGCAAACCTATAAACGGAGAGATCCAGTTGATCAAAATAGCCCTAAAACAATGCTGAACCGAGAGATTGTCTCCCCAAAACGTTTTCTTTGAGATCCCTGCCCTCATGAACACAAGGGTACAGGATATCAGACATGTGAATGCACAGGGCTATGATTCTTAATTAAATGACTCTATGAGAGAAAAATGAGAAGAGTTCAACTTTAGGCTGGATAGCCAAAGACCTTGAGATAGAAAAGAGTGAGGACATAAGGAATAACAAACCCACTAAGGAAAGAGTTAGGGGAGGTGCTTAGGACTTAGTGATTAGAACCGCTTGTGCTCAGAAGCCATTAAAGAGATCCCAGCAGGAGCAGGAGAGGACCCATAGTCCAGTCCGTTTTTNTTTTTGAGACAGATTTCACTCTTGTTGCCCAGGCTGGAGTGCAGTGGCGGAATCTCAGCTCACCGCAACCTCCTCCTCCCAGGTTCAAGTGATTCTCCTGCCTCAGCCTCCCGGGTAGTTGAGATTACAGGCATGTGGCACCACACCCAGCTAATTTTGAATTTTCAGTAGAGGCAAGGTTTCTCCATGTTGGTCAAGCTGGTCTCGAACTCCTGACCTCAGGTGATCCACCTGCCTCAGCCTCCCAAAGTGCTGGAATTACAGGTATGAGCCACCATGCCCGGTGGTCCAGTTCATTTTTCAAAGAAGTAAGGTAACCGACTTCATGTTATGTAGCTATCCAGCAGGAAGAATTAGATTTAGCTTGCAGTTTTTTTAAAGACATGTAACAGATTCAGAAAATTAGATAAGTGAAATTTTTAGATCTGCTCAGAAACTTTGAAGTGTATCATATAAATATATCTTTCACTATGTGTTTTGGTAATCTCTTAGGCTGGTTCAGCCTTCTCCAAACTGAGCTGTTGATCTTGCAAGATCATTCTCATGCCGAGCTATTTCATTTTTTTCCTAGCAACTCAAAATTATTCTCTCCTTTTTTAAATTTTAGGTCGAATGTAATTCCCGCCTGAACCCTATAAATACAACTTTGCTAAAGGTAATGTGTCTTCTTCCTTCACTTCCAACCCTTTGTGAGTATATTATAAATGCTTCAGATAATCATGTTTTCTGGAATAATTGCCCATAAAGAAGCAAAGCTTCCCTCTCTTTGGTTATCTCATTCTCTTTTTAAAATAATGCTTTTGGCCAGGTATGGTGGTTCATGCCTATAATCCCAGCACTTTGGGAGGCCGAGGCAGGCGGATCATGAGGTCAGGGGTTTGATACCAGCCTGGCCAATATGGCAAAACCCTGTCTCTACTAAAAATACAAAAATTAACTGGGTGTGGCTGCACATGCCTGTATTCCCAGCTACTCGGAGGCTGAGGCAAGGTAATTGCTTGAACCCAGGACGCGGAGGTCGCGGTGAGCCGAGATTGCGCCATTGCACTCCAGCCTGGGTAACAAGAGTGAAACTCCATCTCAAAAAATAAATAAATAAATAAATAAAATAAAATAATGCTTTTTTGCTGATTACGTTCTCATTGTAGAACACTGCAAAAAAGAGAAAAGCATAAAGAATAAAATAAATTTAAATTAACCATAATACTACTACCCAAACCTCTGGTAAAATATTGCTGTCCTTTCCTATACATTTACATCATTAGAGAGGTGCTGGGCATGATGGCTCACACCTATAATCCCAACACTTTGGGAGGCTGAGGTGGGTGGATCACTTAAGTCCAGTTATTTTGAGACCATCCTGGGCAACAGAGTGAGACCCTGTCAGAGAGTATTTACAACCCTGTATCTGTTTTACTCAACTTTATGGCCAAGCCTTTTCCCATGTAACCAAAAACTTTGGCTGGGTGCTGTGGCTTACACCTATAATCCCAGTGCTTTGGAAGGCCAAGGTGGGAAGCCAAGAGTTCAACAACAGCCTGGGCAACACAGTGAGATTTAAAAAATAAGAAAATTAGCTGGGCTTGGTAGTGCGTTCCGGTAGCCCCAACTACTCAGGGGGCTGAGGCTAGAGGATTCCTTGATCCCAGGAATTCGAGGATTTGTGCCCTTGACACTGCACTCCAGCCTAGGTGACAGAGTGAAACCCTGTCTCAAAAAAAAAAAAAAAAAAAGAAAACTTTGTAAACATTATTTAGTGTTGCAAGAATTAAGACAATGGATATAAATTCTTTATATGCAAAATCCTGCTGTATTGATAAGGAAACTTTCAGTAACAATTCTAATGATGAGGGTGGATGCATGTTCTTTCTCTTAGGGCAAATACAGAGCAACTCTTAAGCTAAATTGCTAGAGTTAGTATCAAATGTCTCCCCTTTTGAGTATATCCTAGGCAGGAGTTTTTACCTGACATTGTTTCAACCTAGCTTTTCCTAGAGCCCCTACTAACGTTTTTAGGTAGCTGACCATCTAGTTTGAATTTGGACTACTGTAGATTTAAATGCTGATCATATGTTGCTTACTGCTACATTTTCAGTGTGAAAGACCTCTGCCTCTTCCTTTTCTCTTTGAGGTGTGTTTGAAAGGAAAGTGCTGTTACCAGAAATGGCCTGTAGTTCCTAGAAAGATAACGTGAGGTTAGTGCTCCGAGGTGAGCACACTCAAAATGTTCTGGCCTCCAGTCAGTTGATGACTGGTCTAAAAATTTTTTCTGGGGGCTGGGCATGGTGGCTCATGCCTGTAATCCCAGCACTTTGGGAGGCGGAGGCCAGGAGTCAAGACCAGCCTGCCCAACATGGTGAAACCTCATCTCTACTAAAAATACAAAAATTAGCCAGCCATGGTAGCAGGTGCCTGTAATCCCAGCTACTCCAGAGGCCGAGGCAGGAGAATCGCTTAAACCTAGGATGCAGAGGTTACAGTAAGCCAAGATTGCACCATTGTATTCTAGCCTGGGCAACAAGAGTGAGACTTTATCTCAAAAAAATTTTTTTTTGACAAAAATAAAATATCGATTGTTTTTTAAGTTTGCAGTTTCAAATTAATTTCTCACTTCAGGTTTGAATCAGTATTCAAAAGCACAAAACTACAATAACATAGCCAGTTATTTTGGGAAAAAAATGCCCATCTACAACCCCATAGAATAGAGTAGATAACTCCTATGGCAGATTGAACTTATTCTCAAACTGTTTGATAGGTACCCATCTTGGGAATAGTTTCTCCCAGTATTCTCTCTGCATATGGGAACTGTTCAGTGGTTCTCATCAGGTTTCAGCTCCTAAACTTCATGAAAATACAGCCTGCGCTAGTTTGGTTTTGTGTATATTTGTTAGATTAAGTGTTTATTTACAGTCTTATGCTTAGAATTTTCGGGGGACTCGCCCTTGTTAATCTCAAATTTCTGTGTCTTCTGTGGCACTCTCCTCAGTAGCAGTCCCCCCTCAAAATAAGTTTTAATGCCAGTGAGTTGAAACCATGGGGTTCGTGTCCCTTTTTTTTAAAAAAGCCAGTCAGCCTGAATAGTATACCATCTGAGCCCAGAATGCATAACAGCTGGAAGGAAGAGAGCAGGCCTATGTTTGGCCACTATACCCTAAAAATGCTTTTCTATGGAGAGTAGATTCAAATCACCTGGGAGCTTATTAGAAATAGACGTTCTTGAACCATACCCCAGACCTGTCAAATCAGAATCTCGGGGACGAGGATCCAAGAATCTGAGTTTTAATAAGTCCTTCAGGTAATTCCAGTGTATACTAATGAAGCCATACCTTAGAAATGCTTGCATATGTGAGAATAACCAGCTGTAAATGTTTATGAAGTGAAAAGCAGCATTACCAAACCCAGCTATTAGAGGAAAGTGGTTGACTGAGTGAGCTGGCTGAATTAGTATCAGCTCCTGATGGCAGAGTGCCCTTACTCATGAAGGAAAGAAAGATAACGTAGAGTTGAAATGAGACTTGGAAAGCATGATGCACGGAGAAGCTAGGGTTACACTGTTCGAGGACTCTGAAAGGAACATTCTCAGGAGGTTTCCACAATTGAGAGTAGTGGTTAACTTCACTATCACCGCAAAAGAAAATTGCCACCATGGGCCTGAAAGTCAGCCCTTCAGTCTTATTGATAAATAAGTATGGAATAATTATTTCAGATTTTCATCCAAGGTTATAAGTCTTTGTATGTGAGTGCATTGAGATGTAAACTTGCATTTAAACATTAACTAAAACCTAGAACTCGATTTTGTTCTGTTTGAAAGGACTTGGGATGTTCAGAGCAATTCTCTTAAGGGTAAGTCCCAGCTGACTTGCATATTTCTCCTTTTCTAGATGGCAGACTGTGGGGGACTGCCCCAGGTAGTTCAGGTAAGGAGGTTTTTTTTAAAAACACCCTTTTAATTCTGCCTCTCTGTCTATGCAAAGATTAATGCCCTCTCGTTTTGTGCCCCCAGCCTGGGAAGCTCACCGAGGCCTTCAAGTACTTTTTGCAGGGAATGGGCTACAGTGAGTAGTACACAACTTTCTATCTAGCAACAATTTATGAATATTGGGGGTCAGCTTAGCATCTGGGAGCCCACAGTTCTTGGGATATAACTGTATCAGCTAGCCTTAAGCAAAGTAGAAACCAAAATGTTGATGGAACATTCATTCATGTGTATTTATAATATGCTAACACTCAGCACTTACTTTTGTCAGGTACTATGTATTCTTAATCTAAGAGGTCATTCTGTTATTAGTGCCATTTTATAGAAGAAGAAACTGAGTCTCAGAAAGGCTAAGCACATTTCCCAGAGTAAAAATTTAGCTGTAGAGCTATGATTCACACTCTGGCAGTCTGACTCCAGAGCCCACATTTTGAACCACTGAAGCTTAGGCTGTCTGTCCTAGGTGTGAATCTGAAATTATGGTTTGCATTTAAACTCAGGTGGTTAATAACTCCAGACCTAGAGATATGAAATGGAGACTCCAGGAGAAAAGGGCAGTATTCTTGGTAGTGTCTTTCTCCCTAGGAGATGAACTTGGAGAGTTGTTTTAGAGCAAGTCCAAGGGTGTGTCCATATCATATGCCATTGTCCTGGCTTCTTGTATTGTATGACCCCCGAGCATTCTCATGGTCACAGAATTCTCTACATGTGCTCCTTTCTTGGAGTTTTAAGAAAAACTCTTTCACCCAGGTACAGAGCTCTTTACCCAGTAGGGTGATTTTTCTCCTGTCTTTGGTATTAGTGTGAATAATGGTCATTAGTGAGCCACCGGTCAGCTGCTCTGGGCAGCTGGGCCCTGGGTACAGCCCTGTACCTGCCAGGCAGACCATGTATGTCTTGTCTCAAGTGGCTGTGTCATCCTTGCCTGTGAGCTGCTACCAACCGAGCCCACATCCACAGCCCTATGGCTCACTGGGAGGAGCAGGAGCCCCTCTCCTAGCCCCTTCTTATCCTTTGCCAAAAAACAGCTGATCTTCCAGCCCATTTCTGATCCAAAGCAAGATGACTATTTATAATGGAGAGGAAAACAATTGCTTTTTTTCTAATTGAGGAAAGTAACATCTGAGATGCTATTAATTATCTGTCAGCCTCCCCTCCTCTCTGGGAGCTTAAAGTAAAATTTTATCCCTGTTTTAGAGTATTCCTTGAGTGTCTATCAGGCAACTGAGGTTGCCACTTGGCACTCTCAGGTCACTAACCTGGCTTTTCCTATGTCCATCCTGCTTCCAGTCCCGTATGTGCAGCTCAGTCACTTGAGCACCGAGTCAGGTACCTTCCTCTGTGCTGGCTCTGCCCTGCCTTCCAGCCTCTCCTGGCTGCACTGGCTGCCTGTAGCATGTCCGCGGTCTTCCTGTGCAGTGAGAGCCCAATAGAACGTGGCTCAGTATGCCCCAAGAGATTTAGCCTACAGGTCCAGCCCTGGTCCCCCAGGAGTAAGAAAGGATCTGGTTGTAAGGGGAAGGCCTCCTCTTGTCATCCTAAATCCAGGGTCACAGCAGCAGCTGAAATTTGATAGACAGGGCCTGTCTTCCACCACCACCTACTGATCCTTGAATTAACCTCCAGACACAGGAATCCAAGGGCAGCTTTGGCTCTAAATAGGAGGGTCAGAGCCTGTGCCCAGAGAATTCTGCAGATAATGGCATCTTTTGACCCCAGCATTGAAATGATAGCTAGGGGAGTGGCTGCTGCCCAGGAGGATAGGCAGGGAGGCTATGCCAGGTAAGGCCCAGTCCCAGCCAAGCTGGAAGGACCTTAGGGTCAAGCAGTGGCAGAACAGGAGTCTGAGTTAAACACCTCATCCCTGTGTAGAGGTCAGCTCCAAGCCAACCTGCCCTCCCCTTGACACACACTGTCCTATACGTCTCCTCCCCGGATAGCAAGGTAGCCTGTGGACACGGATGGTAGTCTCGTTGTATCGGGCTTGCACTGTGTTTGTGAAACACCTTCATACTTGTGTGTTTGTCTTTCTTTTCTTTTGGTTTAGTCTTGCATGTACTGTAGGTTTTATTTACCTGTTTGGGTTCCCAGAGCTTCCATTCTATCACTGTCTGAATGGTGTGGGCATAGCTAAGAGGCTATACTCTGGACTTAGGGTTTCCCCTTGTTCTGCTGGGGACTACAATCAGCTGAGATTCCAACCAGATCTAAAGGATTAAAGTGCCGTCACGTTTCACCACTCAGAGCAAATAATACAAAATGGGGATGACTATATCTTGTCCTGGGTGTCATCATAAATGATTTGGAAAAGCTAAACATAAAGCCTTTGATGAGACTCCTACGTCAGCTGAGCTTAACCAGGGCTTCATCTTCTAGTCCCCTTTGGTTCTCTGTTACAGTACCATCTGCCAGCATGACCCGGCTTGCCCGATCACGAACCCACTCAACCTCAAGTAGCATTGGCTCTGGAGAAAGTCCCTTCAGCCGGTCTGTCACCAGCAATCAGTCAGATGGAACTCAAGAATCCTGTGAGTCCCCTGATGTCCTGGACAGACACCAGACCATGGAGGTGTCCTGCTAAACAGATGCTCCTCCCCTGGATCATTGCAAGTCCATCCTTCTTCAAATGACCACTCCATAATATAACATTTCATCCAGTAAACTGGCCTCTACTATCTTTAACTCATGCATGGCCACTGAACCTCTCTCTAGTAGCCTGGATTTATCATTCTCTCTGCCTGCCCACCCCTTTTTTTGTATATCCCAAGAACCACTTCCATGCCATACTGTAACATTCCAACATCTTTAGCTGATCAGATCTCTCCATATCCTCTCTTGCCAGCTTTTTTCCGTGCCCCCTCAACTATGTATCAGATAAGATTCTTTGATCCCAATTCTGTGTGTGTGCGAGCACGCATGTCTGTGTTTGTGTGTGCATAGTTCTGTGGTTTTAGACATGCTTTCTTGTAGTGCTTCTGCAAAAAACGAAAAAGGGACTTATTTTGCATTCTCAATGGTTTTTTTTAAGGGAATTAGGCAGAACAGATTTCTAGGTTGGGTAGGCCAACTGCATTCTCTTTTGTTTGCAAATTGGTCAACAAAATTTGCAAAGTGATTTCAGAAAAGAGCATCTTGGAGGAATGTGGAAAATCATTATTACTGCCTGGACCATTGATTGATTGTGACCAATAGTAGAAGGCTGCCTGTTACATAGAGAGGCTCCTTCTGTCCAAATGAATTCCTGTATACTATTCTATAAATAAAAGGGAGGAATATATTCTGCTGGAAGCCCATGAACCATCGGTGAGGTTCTGATTCAACATAAGAGTTGTTTCCTAGGAGTGAATGTGGCTTAATTAGTGGACTCAGTTAGCACAGGAAGGTGGAAAACAAAATGCCAGGCCCCTGCTCTGCAAGAACAAAACTGCTATTTCTGCAGTATCTGATACCAGACATCCACATATCCACAAGAAGTGCCTCTTAGGTCTATGATGAGAGCATTTCTCCATTCCTCACTTCCCAGAAAGGGGAGAGGGATGGTTTAAAAAGCATGTAGATGGTGGAGAAATGGGTGGGGGGAGAGGAACAGCCATTAACATTGTATCATGTTTAATAAGCTTGATTTCAGCAGCCATATGGAAGCCAAATTAAATTAATACAGAACTCATTTCTCAGCAAGAGTCCTTGGTTTTTTTGTTTGTTTGTTTGAGACAGAGTCTCACTCTGTGGCGCAGGCTAGAGTGCAATGGCACGAGCTTGGCTCACTGCAACCTCTGCCTCTCGGGCTCAAGCAGTTTTTCTCTCAGGTGGCTGAGGGGAGAACTCTTGTCTCAAGTGGCTGTGTTATCCTTGCCTGTGAGCTGGGACTACAGGCACCTGCCATCACACCTGGCTAGTTTTTGTATTTTAGTAGAGATGGGGTTTCGCTATGTTGTCCAGGCTGGTCTCAAACTCCTGACCTCAGGTGATCCGCCCACCTTGGCCTCCCAACTGCTGGGATTGTAGGTGTGAGTCATTGTGCCTGCCATCAGAAACATTCTTAATCTTATGAACTCTCTTTTGTAGGAAGGAAGGGGCCCATCTGTAGAGGCAGCCCTGTCCAGGTAAAGTTGTTTTCAGCCTCCTGTCTACTGTTAGGTGAGGGAGTCACAGCCAGCCAGAGAGTATCACTGGAGGGTGAGAGAAAGAACTGTGGAAACCAGCTGCCACATAGCAAGAGCCCAGCTCTTGGGAGCATTGAGATGTAAGCTCAGGGTTACACAGTTCCAAATCTTGGGAAGGGGCTTTTCAGACACATTGTTTGCTTTCTGCTGAGATAACGAATGCATCACTCTGCCAGAGTATGACTTTTTACAGATTATTAAATAAAGCTGTATATGTCTCATTGTTACCTCATTGCTGGTATTATTTCTCTCAAGCCATTCACTGGGGTTCAGGGTGGGATCGAGTTGCTGTATGCTGGTATTGGCATTTTCACATGTGATTGCTTATCCACCAAGCGACACTGTCCATTTATAGGAGGAAATGAAGCCTGATGATAAATCATTTGCCCAAGGTCCTACAGCCAATAAGTCCAGCCAGGATTAAATCCCAGGGAATTATGCAGAATTCCATCTGATGTGTCTGTATTTCCCTCAAGCCAAAAATCAGGAGAAGCCTGATAGTGTTGTTTGTGATGGAGTAGAAGCAGCTGAGGTCTTGAGAAGGTGGTCCACGTCGCAGCTCCACCACCTGCATGGGATTGCTGGGTCCCACCTGTCATTTAATAATCTGCAACCACTTGTCTGGGTTCCTCTATGAGACCAGCCTATGTTTCTCCAGAAATGGCTATATTTGTACCTGTCAAGAATAATTTCAGGCCAGGTGTAGTAGTTCACGCCTGTAATCCCAGCACTCTGGGAGGCCAAGGCAGGTAGATCACTTGAGATCAGGAGTTCAAGACCAGTATGGCCAACATGGTGAAACCCTGTTTCTACTAAAAATATATAAATTAGCCGGTCATGGTGGTGCATGCCTGTAATCCCAGCTACTTGGGAGGCTGTGAGGCAGGAGAATCACTGGGAGGCGGAGGTGGCAGTGAGCCGAGATTGCGCCACTGCATTCTAGCCTGGGCTACAGAGTAAGAGTCCATTAAAAATCAATAATAATAATAATAATTTCAGGAGACCACCATCTCAGATGAGTTTTCCAGTGACCCAGGGGCAAGTGCCAGCAAAAGCGCATCTGGATTGCTGCATATGCAAGAGGCACTCATAAAATGACATGGACCCTACTCATTCTGGCAGAGGAGTTGAAACAAATGCATTTGAACAGATGCAGATTACCAAGCCGACACCTGATGATGCAGGCCTGTGCTCCACAGAATGCTGACCTGGGAAGGAATTGATCTGATGGCCTCAGTTGCCCTTTGTTTTTTGTTTGGTTATGTTCTGTTTTGATACAGAGTCTTGCTCTGTCACCCAGGCTGGAGTGCAGTGGCATGATCTCCACTCACTGCAACCTCTGCCTCCTAGGTTCAAGCAATTCCCCTGTCTCAGCCTCTCAAGTAGCTGGGACTACGGGAATGTGCCTCCAAGCCCAGCTAATTTTTTGTAGAGATGGGGTTTGGCCATGTTGGCCAGGCTGGTCTGGAACTCCTGACTTTAAGTAATCCGCTCACCTCGGCCTCCCAAAGTGCTTAAATTACAGGCATGAACCACCACACTGGACCTTTTTTTCTTTTTTTTTTTTTGGACAATGTCTCGCTTTGTCAGCCAAGCTGGATGGCAGTGGTGTGATCATTGCTGTCTGCAGCCTCAGACTCCCAGGCTCAAGCCATCCTCACACTTCAGCTTCTTGAGTAACAGGGACTACTGGCATGCAACACCATGCCTGGCTCATTTTTTATTTTTTGTAGAGACAGGGTATCACTTCATTGCCCAGGCTGGACTTGAACTCCTGGCCTCAAGTGATCTTCTTGCCTCAGCCTCCTAAAATGCTAGGATTATTGTGGGAATCAGCCTTTTATTGAGCATCTGTATAGGCCAGGCCCTTAACATCTTCCTATAAATTTCCTTCTATTGATTCAGTGAGATACATCCTATTCCCATTTTTTGGATGCAGAAACAAGCCCAGAGATAACTAGTTTGTAAATGGTCACAAAACTAGTAAGTGGCAATACGGGAAACAGTTTCTTCCACTACACTCAACACTTCTGTGACTAAATGGGTGGGCTTTTTTCCCATACCAACCAAGGCTTCAACACCCCAGACAGTAGGTCTCCTAAATTCAATTATGACACCAGCTTCCTAGAGTTAGACCCCACAGGTTAAGGGTTCAGACCCACAAGACTGCCCCCTGCTTCACATGCCAGTTGCAAGCAGTGGATCCCCAGGTTACTCACACTTCTGTTCAACCTGGCTACAAATTGGACATCCTCCCTCAGGCTTGTTAGTTTGCTAAGATTGCTCACAGACTCAGGGAAACACTGAATTTACAGGTTTATGATTCTAAAGGATATGAGGCAGGGTGTGGTGGCTCACACCTGTAATCCTGGCACTTTAGGAGGCCAAGGCAGGAGGATCATTTGAGCCCAGGAGTTTAAGACCAGCCTGGGCAACATAGTGAGACTCTGTATTCTAGAAACAGAAAAAATACATATTATAAAAAGGCAAGATTAGAGGGAAAAAAAAAAAGCAAACAAAGCCTCCAAGAAATATGGGATTATGTGAAAAGACCTATGTTTGATAGGTGTACCTGAATGTGATGAAGAGAATGAATCCAAGCTGGAAAATACTCTTCAGGATATTATCCAGGAAAACTTCCCCAACCTAGCAAGGCAGGCCAATATTCAAGTCCAGGAAATACAGAGAACACCACAAATGTTCCTCAAAAGAGCAACCCCAAGGCACATAATCGTCAGATTCACCAGGGTTGAAATGAAGGAAAAAATGCTAAGGGCAGCCAGAGAGAAATGTCAGGTTACCCGCAAAGGGAAGCCCATCAGACTCACAGCGGATCTAAGCAGAAACCCTACAAGCCAGAAGAGAGTGGGGACCAATATTCAACATCCTTAAAGAAAAGAACTTTCAGCTTAGAATTTCATATCCAGCCAAACTAAGTTTCATAAGCGAAACAGAAATAAAATCCTTTACGAACAAGCAATTGCTCAGAGATTTCATCACCACCAGGCCTGCTTTACAAGAGCTCCTGAAAGAAGCACTAAACATAGGAACAACCAGTACCAGCCACTACAAAAACATACCAAATGAGCATCGATACAATGAAGAAACTGCATCAACTAACGGGCAAAACAACGGCTAGCATCAAAATGGCAGGATCAGATTCACACATAACAATATTAACGTTAAATGTAAATGGGCTAAATGCCCCAATCAAAAGGCACAGACCAGCAAATTGGATAAAAAGTCAAAACCCATCTCACATGCAAGGATACACATAGGCTCAAAATAAAGGGAAGGGGGAAGATTTACCAAGCAAATGGAGAGCAAAAAAAAAAAGCAGGAGATGCAATCCTAGTCTCTGATAAAATAGACTTTAAACCAACAAAGATCAAAAGAGACAAAGAAGGACATTACATAATGGTAAAAGGATCAATGCAACAAGAAACAATTCTAAATATATACGCAACCAATACAGGAGTACTCAGATACATAAAGCAAGTTCTTATGACTTACAAAGAGACTTAGACTCCCACACAATAATAGTGGGAGACCTTAACACTCCACTGTCAATATTAGACAGATCAACGGGACAGAAAATTAACAAGGATATCCAGGACTTGAACTCAGACCTGGACCAAGCAAACCTAATAGACATTTGCAGAACTCTCCACCCCAAATCCACAGAATATACATTCTTCTCAGCGCCACACCACACCTACTCTAAAATTGACCACATAATTGGAAGTAAATCACTCCTCAGCAAATGCAAAAGAACAGAAATCATAACAGACAGTCTCTCAGACCACAGTACAATCAAGTTAGA